GATACTAAATTTTTTATTAAAAAATGGGGTGAATTAATAAGACAGTGAGATGGGTTTATCACCACTCTTAAATTTTAATGTGGGGTGCATTCAACATTTTGTGGGATGCTAATATAAAATACCTTAAAATATTGGTCAATTCCAATTTAATTTGTCTTACTTTACCCCAGATCTAAATAATTATCATGGAAAAAAAAATTATAATATTGAAATAAGGTAGTTAAAATAGGATAGTGATATCCGCACATTTATTTTGATATCTCAAACATTTTTGTTAATTTTTGTCGTTGATATTCTTCAATTCATTCAATTCGACGACCGAATTGAAAGAGGTGTATAAGAAGTAAAAATTGTGTGTGGATAACCTTACCCCTTAAGAATGAGGATCCTCTTTGTGAGGATCTCGGGGATCCTCCAATTGTGTCTGTTTTTTGTATATCGTGCGGTCATAAATCATTGTAAATTCTTTTATTTAAAATTGAATATAAATAGTACCTGACGAATGCTGGTCGCACAATATATGATAAACGAAGACGATTGGAGGATCCCTAGAATCCTCATCCACCCCTTAAAATAACATCGAATATATAATAATAGTGTTGTCTTTCTCGGATTAATTGAAATACCATTAACTATATCATACATACTTCAAAGAGAATAAATATGTACAAGTTCAATATAAAAATAGTCTAATGAGATGCATTCGTCAAATTGGTGACTATGCTATTTCTGAATGCTTCCATCTCTCTTTGATCATGGTGATTTAAGTCGTCTTCTTCTTTATCATCACTATACCCCTCTTTACTAAAGCCTTCAGAGTCATCAAAATGCCTATTTCGTACGGAACGTCTCTCCTATCACGTTTAGAATGCCTTTTTATATAGTTATGAAGAGTCATTGTGGCAATACACAATTGAAATGTAACATGGAAACCAAAATAAGAAAATTGAAAGAACAAACGATGATTAACCCAAACAAGGCAACAGAACTTAGGATTAATTAAGTGGAGCAAAAAGAAAAGGTTTGGCTCTTGTACTGTGTTTCTGAAGAAGATGGGGATTTTCCTCACAGTTTCTTCGGTTCTTTACCAAGTGGGCTAATCACTATCATTATTTTACGAACAAGACTACTCAAATATAAATACGAACTCATACTTAAAATTTCTTAAAATTATTCGTTATTAATTTATATAACTTCGTATTTATAATTAGAACCGTTCATATTATAAATCACCATATAAAGATCACATTTGCAAAAAATCAATTAAAATTAGGTCGTTTAATCATCAAATTGTTTAAAACAAATGAATGGTATTGGTAAAAGCATTACGAACCGTCTAAGTATTTGTAACAATGGATTGACTAAATGATCTTAGTTTTAATTTATTATTTATAGATGTGATCTTTACAATGTCATTCATAGTATGAACGATTCTGATCATAAGCACAAAACTCTGTGATTAAAATACTAAGAGTTTTGAATATGAGTTCCTACTCATCTTTAATCATCCAAGTATTGCTGTTATTTTACCATCCTCATCTGTGATACACTGAATACCAGGCCGGAAATGCACGGAGGAGACCTTGGGTAGTCTAGAGATGTATAAGAATCCAAAAAAGTAAACTCCCAGGTCTCACTTTTGAATGATCCCTTGAGTTATTACAGTTGATATTGAGCTGCAACCCATTTGTCTATGTTAAATTTCAATTTTTCTTCAATAGTCCAAACAGATTAGTAATGCGGAAAATAGACGATGAAAATTGCATTGAATAAATACCATTTTAATTAAGAAAAACTAATGAAAATAGCTTGAAAACTTTTTTAACGATAAAGACAAAATAAAGGGTAAAGTAAATAGTACCAAGATTGACTTTTTAATGTAAAAATATGGTTTTTCGTTAAAGTGAACAATACAATGAGTTTTTCGTTAAAGTTCCTAAATTTAACTTATCAATCTTATGGATAAAATGTCAGACCATCCAGTAGTCCAAACTACTGAACATATACTTGTTGAATTCATGGCCGATAGTGATGATGAATCTCCTTGACAATGAGGAAAAACAATTATTAAGATGACTATGTTTATATATAAGTATGGCGTGACATTGGCCATTTAAAAATAATTTTGTACAATATTATAATTCTGGACAAGATTATGTATAACTCGTTCGATTGAGGATGATCTAATGTGAAATCCATGGTCATGTTAAAGGTTGTGTGGCATATCTATGGAGGGGAGATTATGATACCCCGAGTCTCACATCGGAATTGCGTGGGAAGATCTTGGGGAGTCGAGCGATGTTTAGTACTCGAGAACTCAACTTCAGCTAGCACTTTTGAACGAGATCTTGCACGTTTTTACAAGCTTCTGTTTAAGGCCCAAAGAAAAAGTATGGTCGAAATTTTAGGCCCTCTCAAATCCATGCATCCAAAAGGGCCCTAACAAAAGTACTTGTCCTATTAAACGACTGACGTGGGCAAATGCAAGCAGTGCAACTGTGCAAGTGAAACAGTCAAAGACAAGCCAGCGGCCAGCCAGCCGAAACCTCCTTCCGTCCCTTACAACTGAAGCTCCCCAAGTCCAACACTCATCCGCTTCTACACTCCAAATCTGTCTCGCACGACATTAACATCCAACCCACCGTCCTCAAAACAAAAGTAAACAAAAAAACAACCACTCAAGTAAAACTCAAAAGTCTCACACTTTGGTCTCTCTGTGCAGATCTCATCAATCAATCGCCTGTAAGTAAATCCCAAACTCCGAATCTCTGTTTTCCTTTCCCCATTCATTTTCTTCCACTTTCTCTCAAAACCCACCATTTTTCTACATGTATTCATAAGATCTGATCGGTTTTCCCACCTGGGTTTTCTCGAAAACTCATGAAAGAATCGAATCCGACCACGGAGCCCATCGGGCAAAACATCATCAAACTCATCAGCAATCTCTGTTTCTCAGTTTTTGTATTTTCGGTGCTTATAATTACTGTAATTGCCATCACCTACCAACCCCCAGATCCATGGCTGGAGTCAGCTCCGGCCTTAACGAAACTCTTCACCGCTTCCGAGAACGCCACTTTCAAAAATGATGACTCTGTCCTCAAAACTGGCGAGGATTTACCTCTTTCCCCCGTCGTTCCCCCGGCTTCTTCGGGTTTTGCAATCACGGAGGCTGTGATTGCGAAAGCCGAAGCCGAGGTCTCCAGTCCGACCAATTCGACCCTGTCGGACGGGTTGAATTGTGAGGATTTGGAGAGAGTGAATTGCTCTGACCCACGGGCTTTGATTGCGGTGGAGAGATTTAATTTGAGGTTGTTTAAGAACATTGTGTTCTTGGAGTATCAGACGCCGGTTAACGGGTCGAAAGAGGATGAATGTGACGTGTTGTGGAAATTTAGGAACAAAAAGGAGAAGTCTTGGAGGAAGTATAGGGATTTTAGGAGGTTTAAGCTCGGATTCGGAGTGAATTGTACTTATAAGGTGGTGCACGCCAGAGGGTGGCATTCAGGTATTAATGCGAGGGGGGCGAGGAGGATTAGTAGTAATGGCACCAGGGGTGGTGGGAATGCTAGAATCGCCCCACCAGTACGTGATGAACAGATCAATGATACAATCCCAAGCTTGGGATCGGATAGGAATTTTAGGAGGGGGAGGTACTTGTACTATTCGCGTGGAGGGGATTATTGCAAGGGGATGAATCAGTTCCAATGGAGTTTCTTGTGTGGTTTAGGTGAGGCTATGTATTTGAACAGGACGTTTGTGATGGATTTGAGTGTCTGCTTGGCGGGGAGTTATACTGCAAGTAATAAAGATGAGGAGGAGAAAGATTTTCGGTACTACTTTGATTATGAACATCTGAAGGAAACTGCCTCAATTGTGGATGAGGTTGAATTTCTGCAAGATTGGAAGAAGTGGGATCGGAGCCATAAGAGGAAAGTGCCCGTTAAGAAGGTTGCGAGCCATAAGGTGACGCCAATGCAGCTGAAGAAAGAGAGGAGCACGATTATATGGAGGCAGTTTGATGGTCCGGAGCCAGAGAACTACTGGTACAGGGTGTGTGAAGGACAGGCTGCTAAGTACGTTCAGAGGCCGTGGCATGCCCTGTGGAAATCAAAGAGATTGATGAATATTGTTACAGAGATAAGTGGGAAAATGGACTGGGATTTTGATGCTGTTCATGTTGTGCGAGGAGAGAAGGCACAGAATAAGGAGCTTTGGCCTCACCTCGATTATGATACATCCCCCGACATGCTTCTTGAGAAGGTTAAGACGATGGTGCAGCCTTGGAGGAATCTGTATATAGCCACCAATGAGCCGTTCTACAATTACTTCGATAAACTGAGGTCACAGTACAAGGTTCATTTGCTTGATGACTACAAAGAACTTTGGAGTAACACAAGTGAATGGTACAATGAGACTAGCATTTTAAACAACGGACGCCCAGTTGACTTCGATGGATATATGAGGGTTGAAGTGGATACCGAGGTTCTTTACAGGGCAAAGACGCGTGTGGAAACATTCTATAATTTGACGGCAGATTGCAAGGACGGAATCAACACATGCTGACCCAGGTTGGAGAAACATCTAGTTCCTTATTCCATATTTTGATTCACTTTTCGAATGATACAGTTGAATTCGTGTGAGGCTTATTGCTGTTATTTGCTTGTTCTTTTATTGTATTGGATGTTGGCAATTCATATTGATCATCAAAGGCTATATATGTTGTATTATTGATCACATCAAAGCCTATATCAGTTTTATCTCTTACAAGTTGTAGTCAATTCCATTGAACGAAAATTTGAATTGAAAAGTGGAGATCTCTTACAAGGTCTAGATCGATGCAGCACATTTAGATTTACATTTCAACCTGCAGATAATTTGAAACTTTTTGCATCGGTTTAACTCCAAAATTCCTCATGTAGCCATATCGTTCCTTAAAGTCGTCATTGGTGTTCTTAGTTTTACAGAATGCTTACACAGTTTATAGTTTATGCATATGGGAATGAAGAATTATGTCTTAAGAGGCACATTTGTTATTGCATCTGGAAGGAAATACCATATCAATTGTATCAATTACATCCACAATCTCAAGACGCAAATTAAACTATAGAAAATCAAATGTAATTAAATTCAATCCTTGCTTTCATCTAAAACAAACCTTTTGCATGGTTTTCCTCCACATCCCAGTTTTGGGTTGGAGCCACTTGATTCTGCGAAGGCATGTATTCCTGCAGAAAAATAAGAAAACACGAACTGCCTTTAAAGCAGAAAATGATGTAACCAAGCTAAGACCATCTCCAGTGCTTGTTCTCAATGGTATTTCCACATTGAAGTAATTTCGGGAATGCTTTTGTAAGGGCTAAAAGTGCTTCCTGGTAACCAAAAGTGCTTATGGTTTCTAAAAGCAGTTTTTGGTGCTGGACAAGGAAAGACCAAGTAGAAAGCACTTCCGATAGCAAATATTTTGTTGAACTTTTACTAGAAGCGTTTATGAGTAGAAGTACTTTCTAAAACGGGAATTTGACATGGAATAGTATGAAAGGAGAGAGTGATACCAGTACCTCCATCTTCTGTATCAGCTCTGTAGCAGTTTTTGCAGATATGACAATATTCCTAGCAGATAAATTGATAAACCCCTCTTCCACACCTTTGTCAAACAGACGAAGCAAGCAATCATAATACCCATCAATGTTCAAGAGACCCACCTGATTTTTGCAGACAAAAAATATGTGGTATATTCATATGTTAATGTCAAAGCTACAAATTCGTAATGACATAAATTTGGTGGGTTAATATTATTGAAAAAGGTCAAATGTCCTTTTCCCAGTGTAAGGGCATGCTAATAAGGATTTGTCAAGGAAAGAGTAAGGCTCAATCACATTATTTATGGGCCTAAAATTGGTTGCCAAGTCTTATTCATGGCCCATCCGTATCACATATCCATGGCTATCAAGCTGAAAGCAAGATCTGACTTATAACCAAATAGAGCTAAATACTTGCTAGCTAATTTGAATGGATGGCAACTAAGAAGGTCAGCTGCGCGATGGCGCGCGAGCAATCCAACGCATTTAGATCTCATAGTGAGGTTGATATGTATGTACAATCATAAACTGTATATGCGTTTAATATGATAGATCGTAACAAGATTCATTAAGAAATTGAAAGTTCTATTATCAATTTTTAAAGAATCTATTCTCTTATCACAAATGATGGATCTACAATCAAAATCACATGATTAGATCACGAATATGTGAGCTTATACATGAACTATCACCTAAGACCCAATTCCCTCCATTGCATAGAATGTGCAATGATATTTTCCCTTCCAAATTAATAGGTTATTTCACTTGCACGCCATCATACAAGAAACTGAGGAGAGCTAGATGAATGTGTAGGATGCAGTTCTTAGGACCTAGGATGGACCTTTTTATAATCATTTCAAATGAAAAGCTTATATATACCAAGAAGTTTTTTGTTTTGATGAACCTTCACATGTAACAGTAATTATCACAAGAATGAAAAACAATGATATGCTATAGGTGTGATTGCACACGTTCAAGATTTACCTTAACACACTAAATTTGATGAACAAATATGTCATGTAGTCGTCTTTTCCGCAAAAAGAAAAAACCAAGTGAATTCTATTTTCTTTTTTTCTTTTTCAAATTTCATAAAAAAAAAATCCACAAGTATGTCAGAAATTATAGGATAATGATTATCCCCTTCCCCTTAGTAATATCGCATGTTAAAAAATATATATATTTATAGACTAAATTTTGTAAACTAAATGATATGGAAATTAATAACTGAATTATTACTTAAAAGTTGATAATCGTGTTATTCATATTAATAACGCATTATTTAGTTTGCAAAATTTGTCTACAAAGATTTTTCAGGATGCTTGGAACATAGTCTGGTGTAATAAGTGTTATAATACAAGTGGTTGGAAACTTAAAAAAAAAAAAAAAAAAAAAAAAAAAAAACTTCTAACCACTTATACTATGAAACTTGGTATAACGGGCTATATTCCTGGCCTATTGAAAAGTTTCTAGAAAGAGTGGAGCGGGGAGGAATCTTATTGTTTCTTACAATCATTTTGTTGTGGAAAATTTGTACGAATTATTAAAATTTTCCAAATATCTGAGTAAACAATAATATCATTAACGATGCCTATAGTTTAGGGTTATGCATGCCTCCTCACCCTATAGCACATGCAATCAAATTATATATGCTAAGTCCAATAATTCTACTTAGGTTATTAGCTAGCTAGTTAATTAGTTAATCCCAACAAAAATTGACAACTGAAAATAAAACTAACATGCAATTGTTGATACAATATGTATATATAGTAATATACTACTTACTGGTTTATGATGGATTCCAAGCTGAGACCATGTTATCATCTCAAGCAACTCTTCCATGGTTCCATACCCACCTATAGCAATTCGCAGTTAAGCCAGGCAAATATACGATTAATTAACAATGAAAATGCATGATACATACATGCATGCAGCTTAATTAATTAACAATGAACTATCATCAGAAGTTTATACATACTCTGATATTTGTAACTTTAGTTAATTTGTTTTGCTGGTTAATTAATTCAAATTAATACTGTAATTAAGGAAGCATATGAAACATGTGTGTGTATATATATATACCAGGCAATGCAATGAAAGCATCAGCTCGACGTGCCATCTCAGCCTTTCTTTCATGCATATCCGATACAACCAATACTTCTCCTACTGAATTGCCTGATATCTAAATAACATTCAATCACAACACAAAACAAATACTCATGAGTTAGCATTTATATGTGTGCAGAATACACAGAGAGAGAGAGAGAGAGAGAGAGAGAGAGAGAGAGAGAGAGAGAGAGAGAGAACCTCAAGGGGAATTAGGACTGTTGGGATTACTCTAGCCAAAGCAAAAACAAGAATATTAATCACTTGATTAATTAACTAAAGATTCGCAAATCATATTAGCTAAGAATATATATCTTCGAAATCCAAAGTTTTCTATTTTTATAATATTCGTGCTCATTGATTAGTCTTATCTTACCCAAGAACATGACATCCGCCATCATAAACTGTTTGAGAAACCAACCCCATCAACCCTACACTTCCTCCTCCATACACCAAATCCATTTTCCTCTCCACCTGCAAAATTAATCGATTAACTAAGAACCCTTGCAATTAAAACCCTCAAATCCATCAAGCAAATTCAATAATTAAACAAAACAAATCAATTTATTAATTAACCAGTGTGTTTTATTAGCTATATATATATATATAGGTTAGAATTACCAACCAGTTCTTTCCCAAGTTGAAGAGCTGCATCACTGAATATCTTTCTGTGCCCTGAATTACTTCCACAAAATACACACATCCTTTTGAACTTACCCATCAATTGCATGTTTCTGCTGAATAAGTCGCAGATTAAGATGTCTACCTATATACACACACCCATATATATACTCGATTTAACAATTCTCTGTACTGTAGAACTTGCATGACACGTGAGAGGTGATGCTATATATATATATATATATGTATATGTATATGTATGTGTGTGTGTGTGTATATATATATATATGTATGAGGTCCCACGTATATGAAAATAATGCAAGTATTTATCAATTTTCAGTCAAACAAGATTCTGCCTTTCTTTCAATCTCTTGTATTCTATATCTCATTTGTGTTTGGTGGGTGCACCAATAATATATATACCCTTCTCGATCTGCACCTTCATAGAATTTAGGAATACTTCTGATGCGGTCCTTAATCATTACATTGATTGACATCCTATTAGTTTTTAGATTTTGATCAAAGTCATTTGACTTTGTATACATCAACATATTAGCATTAATCAATTTCCATGTCAAGTATTTTATATTTTAAATTAAAATTATATTAAATATTGTAATATAGACATCCTTCAAATTAAAATTTGTCCGAACATTTAAAACAATTAAATAAAATAAATTACCATATTTATGGGATATAAAATCCCATAAGATTTGAACTTTAACGTTTATGGGATTAAACAACAAACTCCACCATTAGAAAAGAATTGTTTTTTTATTGAATGTCATGATAAAAGTTAAATGTTCCTATAAGAATGTACCCATGTACAATTATAGTAATTCACAAGAATGTATCCATATACAATTTCAACATTAAAACCCATATGTAACAAAAACAAGAAAAACATTGTACCCATATAAATTCTTAATGTAAAAAAATAATTAAAGGATAGAAAAATGGAAGCAAACCATAAGACCAAATTAGTTAAGGGTACATACTATATAAATCTTATAGGAAAAAGTTATACATATATGGGTACAAAAAAATAAAAAGTTACAATGGTAGTATAGAATAAAAGTTGGGTACATGGATTAAGGAACAAGAGAAGAGAATTTACCCAATGAAATTAAAATTGCATTTAGAGCAATATAATGTTCATTTGTTACGATTTTGCAATATGATGGTCATGGAGAAAAAATAAGTTTGAATTTTTTTTGGTGAAAATTAAATTTGAGGATACATATTCAGTATAATAATGTTGAATTTGAACATAAGCATAAATTTGAGTGATAGAATTTTGGGATTTTCAATTACAAACGTGATAATGTGGAAGAAATTATAAATTAAAATTTGTTGTAAAAAAATAAAAAGATGACATGGAAATATTTTATAGTAAAGTGTGGAGGTGTACAAAGTCAAGAAGTTAAGGGACTTTAATCAAAAACTGAAAACCAATAAAGTTTCAATCTATGAACATTGGTGACTAGGGACTGGATCTTAATTTTTCCTAGAATTTATGTAGAGGAGATTCACGCTTACTTTGATTTGGAAAAATCTTATTTGATCAACTAATTAAGCTCTTTTATTGTATTCAAATGCCAAATACATTGGAAGGTTTCAATTTAGAAATCTCACTCCTAATTGAAGAAAAAAAAAACTCACGAAATGTCCAAAAAAACTTTAGTTTTAATGAAAAATGATAAATAAAGGTGTAGTGAATAGTACCAGGAAAAGGTAAAAGTATGGTTTTTCGTTAAAAGTGAACAGTACCATAAATATTTCGTTAAAACTCAAAAAAAAAAAAAACTCCTTTGATATTTGGGTTAAGTCATACCCTCTCTCGCCAATATCGCTTAAATAAATAATGAAAATAAAAACAAAATTACATTTTGATATGATATTGTCTTTTGGCAGACCTATCTAGTGGCTAAAAACATATTTGACTCAATCGTACTAATTAGTTTAAATGGTATACTTTAAAATATCCTTTAATTTTTCATCATATATATCGAGTATTGTTATTCACACGTTCATTTTTACTTCTCACACTCTTGTTAATTGTTGTTCATTAATTTTTTTCAATTCGTTTGATTGAACATTCGAAAATTGAGAAAAATACGTAAGAGATGAAAGTGGATATGCGAATACTAGCATCCTATACATACACACATAGCAAAAGTTAGTGAAATTCTCATAGGCATGCATGCACTTTAAGCACATTGACCGCCTAATCATAAGCAGTCGTATCAATATGTCATATTGCTGGTTACTCCTTTTGGTTTAATTATGACCACGCTTCAATCCTATTTGATAATCTTGATGATTATTATGGTGCTTAATCCCATTGTATAATTTGCTATGCATGATTCTCATAAGTTTTATATGTTGATGTAGTCATTTTTCTTCAATTCAAGCTAATATATATAGCAAAAATGAAACTTTTGACGTAAATGTAGAGAGCAAGTTATATCAACCGCGATGTCATAATTAGGGCTGGGCATGAGTCGGGCCGGACCCAATTTTGAAGGGACCAGACCAGACCTGGGTTTAAAAGAAATGGGCCCGACCGGAGTGGGTATAACAAATTCTAATACAAGAATCGAACCTAACCTGGCTCGTTTGAACCGGGCCGATTCGGCTGGGTCCACGGGATCTTTTTTTTTCTCTTCTTTTTTAGCTCTCTCGAATCTCGATCATTCCAGAGATGTCGGACCACCACCTTTTCCACAAAGGGTCTTCGACAAAAAGGTCGTCCCTTGCACTCTCGCCTTCAAGCTTAGATCCTTTGTGTCACCAACGAGATCTCTAACAAATTTAATCATCGAAAATCTGATGTCATCTCGCCAAAGACGGGAGATAGTAGAGATGATGGAGGCCAAAAGAGGCGTCTCGTTCCCTTTCGTCTTCTCCTACGGCGAGACCAAGATTGATATCAGCGACCTCGTTTACCCAAAGCTTGATTTCCTGCGGGAATGTGGATTGTGGGATTTAATCAATGGTGGAGATTAAATCTCCACATATTGGATAATAGATACGGTCTGGCCGGGGCCCTATTTTCTTAGCAATTTGGACCCGCCTTGCCCCGCAAGTAACATAGAACCGTTCCACCCCGCCTTGTTTTAGATTTATACAAATTAGACCCGTTCCATACCCGCCTCGACCCGCTTGTACTTGCCCCTATCTGCGGGTCCAAGACCCGTTTGCCCACCTCTAGTCATAATAGCAGGTTATTCAATCCATATATAAGTTTTTTTCATGAATCTATAAGAACCGTATATAGCTCCCTGTGCTTGGAACACTTGCCAACTTTTTTCTTTGAATATCTTATTCTAAATGATCAATATTGGTGCACCCTTGGGCCTTGACCATCCATGATTTAATTATGACAGGCATTGATACTAAAATGGGGGTTCAAGCGTGCAATATTTATGATGATGATGTACAAGAGCCCACAACGGATTTAATTAAAATAGAAATCTCTCATGCTTTAATATGGTGCTTCACTAATCATGTTTAATTGCCTTTGGACTTGGGCAAGTTACCTCTAAAGAAGGGAAGTGTTATTAGCACTCCAAAAATCTCATTCTACAATCATCACAAATATATTTTTCTTCCCAAATATAGAAAATTAGGAGTGTAAAATGAGAATTTTAGAGTGCTAATAACAATTCCCATAAAGAAATGAAAAACAAAGAACAAAGGTAGGAACAAGAGGCACCAAAAGAATTCACTTTTCTTTTTTGTTAGGGTTGTGGAAGTTGAGAGTTCATCCTTAAATCAATTTGACAATGAAATCGCCAAACTCTTTATAAACATGTTTTTTTTTTAACTTTCATGTGGAATAGTTCTTCACATCTTCACAAGTCCGCCGGAGGATTACCGTCATAAGCACGACCCGTGATCAATCTTTCTTGGATGAGGTTGTCTTACAATTTGTTTTTCTTATTTTAATTAGGTATACCTTCGATATAACCGGTGCATGAATTCTTTATTCCTATCTCTATCCTCATTCGACGCGAATAAGGTCAAAGCTCTAATAATAGTTCAAGAAAGAAAAAAGGAAATTTGATAGTGAAACAAAAACATGGGCAAATGAAAGTGTTGGTGAAATGTCTCTGGCTTAATTTTGTCTCTTTTCTCCATTTTATTATGAAGCAATATTGCCGACTTTATGTCATTTTGATCCTTGAGAATCTGCTACAGATTTAACACAAATCAGCATGCATCTTAGTTTTCACATGCGAAAAAAACTAATGAAGGAGACAGTAAAAAGCAAGCACTACAGACTAGGATCAATGTTTGTTCCTGCCTAATTTACAATAGCCCATCGTTATTTAGACAAACCAAATAATTAGTAATTCTAATGATTGATCTAATGACTGTGTTTGTATTAATTATATTATTCTGCTGTATCCCATCCCATGAGTCCAAAATGTCTGATTTAGATCCTTTCCTGAGCCCAAGATGAGGATTCTTCTGATCAAAGAGTGTGGACCGTTGGATTTCTTCCAACGGTTATAATTATTATAATTTTAAAAGAACCCTCTTATTTGTAGCCGTTAAATTTTCATCCAATGACCTACACTCCTTGGTCAGAAGGATCCTCATCTTAGGCTCAGGCTCAGGAAATGATCCAAATCCCAAGTCCAAAATGTCATGCTTTAACAGGACAGAAACAGTAAAAACCAATGACCTAAACACAGTATGCATGCATTCTAAACAAGATCTTAATTGTTCAAGTGTTCAAATCATCGTAAGGGACTAATCGGGTACTAATTTGAGTGCTAACGAGCATTTATTTTGTTTCTACGAATGACTCTGCATCCTTAAATCATTAACGACAGTTTTCAGGAGCTAATGATCTGACTTATTAAATCTAATTAGCAAAGAATTAATTAACTCTCTCCCAGTTGTGTACAAAATAATCCTCTAGCAAATTAATAGGCAACCAATGTAAAGAGTAAAACCATGTGCAAGTAAATTTAATGAAACCTCATATCATGCATCGAGCTAACGAAAATAGATATCTCTCGTGTCTCTGTGTGTGTGGAATTATGACTGTATTTAGCAATTTGTGCATGTAATACCTATAGCACTTAGTCGTCTGCTTATGACAAGTAATACGTGGATGATGTGGACCTCTTTGCTCCAAAACGATGAACCAAAACTAATGCCGGGCC